TACAGCTTACCCCCCAATGCGTCGAAAGACATAGCGTCGCGAATACTCCATCAATCGACATGATTGAAATTGGGAACGGTAGCTAAGATTAAAAGCTACAACATATCCAAGTTTTCTTGTGAAGACGACTTTTCTGTCCAGAATTTCGGATTTATATTTTGAGTAATTCTAGCTCCTAAGTTCACCTAGACTCCGTCCTTAATCCTAACAAGTGGTATCATAGCAATATTAAGGACATTAAGAGGAGTCTACAGAAGGTTGAAGACCCTTCTAGACCCATCATGGCCTGTGGGTGTGCCTAAGTGGTGTTCTAAAGGTTGGATGTGTCTTCCGCTAAGGGGAAACTCTGTCGAAATTCCGTGGACGCCGACACTTGTGAAAATATCGAGAGAGCTGAGTGTGGACAGCAAAGGGGAGCTGAAATTCGTCATTTCTCAAGGAGAAGATAAATGAGAGAGGAGGAGATGCTAATGGAAGAGGAGCTGTACCTGAGAAGACAAGTGAGCCGCCGCCATCAAAAGTTGAAGCTTTGGATGGCTCCAACTATGAGGAATGGAGCGGACGGATGAGGAGTGTCTTCAAACGCTACAAGCTACTGAAGATTGCTGTTGGGGAGGAGAAGATGGTGGAAGAAGGCAAAGCACGTGAACGGTGGATTGAGAAAAACATGGTGCTTTTCGACCTCATCCTTCAATCGGTCAACAAGGAGATGTTCGAGCACATCAAGGATCTTGTGGAAGCTGATGATTCGGGTCCAAGGGCGTGGAAACTACTACGCGATGTGATTCAGCCCAACACTCTCCCGATGGTGATCGTGCTCGAGAAGGAACTTGCTGCCATCTCCATGCGAACAGGGGACGATGTGAAGCCGGTCCTTGACAAGATCAAGGACACCTATGCAAGGATGGCAGCAGCGGGCAGCAGTGTATCTCAGCTGCAGCAGTGCACCAAGATCATCTCGATGTTGGACAACTCTTGGGACAACCTCATCCACACCCTCAACTCTCAGCAAGATCAATGGACACCTGAGTGGCTAAGGCAGCAGATTCTGCAGGAGGACTTCCGCAGACGCCATGTGGGAGGTGGTGCTTCCACTAAGACTGCTGAGGGGTATGGAGCTGCAGGGCGCGGGAGAGGAAGAGGGGGTTGGAGAGGCCGAGGCCGTGGAAGGAGCTTTGGCAGAGGTAGAGGCCGAGGTGACTATAATGAGGGGCATGGGAGCTCTAGTGGCAGGGGGAGTACCAAAATGGAGGGCACCTACTGGTACTGCAAGAAGGTCGGGCAACGCGCACAAGGTGGCGCTGTGCAAAGCTCAGGTGCACAAGGTGAAGGTGCTCAAGATAATACCTATCCTGGGATGTTTCTCATGGTTGAGGATGTGCATGGGCATGCAGGTGATGTGGGATTTGTGGGAAAGTTTATGATGCACCCTCTCACGCACTGGGTGATTGATTCAGGTTGCACCAGTCACATGACCCCACGGGCAGATTTGCTTTTTGAGGTAAAACCCCCTGGGGAGATTAGGTATGTGGCAGCAGTGTCAGGTGCTTTGCTCCCTGTCATTGGTGTTGGAAATGCTAAGGTTAAGGGAGCTAATGGAGAGCTTGTGGGGCTTGGGAATGTTCTGCTGGTTGAAGGCTTGTCGGCTAACCTTCTCTCTGTACGACGGCTGCAGAAGAGTAAGGCTGAAGTGACTTTTGGACCAACCAGCTGCCATGCTAAGCTTGGGAAGAAGGTGCTGTGGAGTCTGGAAGAGGAGACCAGCTGCATCAAGGACTTGTGGCAGCTGCCCATCATCCCTTGGAATGGGAAGACTCCAACAGCAGCAACGGCAGCAGCGGCAAAGGCAACAGCTGGAGGAGATGCAACTGCACCAACTGATGGGGTCCTGGAAGCAGTCAAGAAAGTGCAGCAGCAGCAGACACATGGTGAGGTGCTTGCTGGTGTGGATGCGAGTGCGGCATGGGCTAAGGCTTCATCAAGGAGTGGAGAGGCCGATTGGGAGACATGGCATGAGAGGCTGTGTCATGTGAACTTCCTTATGCTGCAGAAGTTGGTGAAGGATGGGAGCCTGAAAGGCTTGGAGGTGAAAGGGGGAGTGAAGGAGATTGGGAGCTGCCCTACATGCTTGGAGACCAAGTTCTCCAAGTTCCCCTTCAACAGCACTACAGGACCAGCCAAGACCCCACTTGCACTTGTGCACATGGATGTGGTGGGGCCCACAAGAGCCCCTTCCCTCTCAGGCAGCCGCTATTTCTTGACAATTGTGGATGACCACACTCGAGCAGTGTGGGTTTACCCTTTGAAGAGCAAGGGGGAGGTGGCAGCAGCTGTCCTTAAGGAGTGGATGCCTAGAGCTCAGAGGGAATGCGGACACAAGGTGAAGGTGATCCGCAGTGATAATGGTGGGGAGTTCATTGGAGCTGATTTTGAGGGGGAGTTGCAAAGGAAGGGGATCCAACATCAACTGACAGTGCCCTACAATCCGCAGCAGAATGGCGTGGCTGAGAGGTTCAACAGGACCCTGCAGGAGGGGGCACACACTCTCCTTGGGCGTGCAGGGCTGCCTGATCCGTTTTGGATGTCTGCACTGAGGCAAGTCGCCCTTGTGAAGAACAGGGTGCTGGCTACAGTTGGGGATAAGGTATGGATCCCGTATACCAAGTTCTTCCAATAGTTCTTGTAGATAGAGTCCTTCGCGTGTTGCTGTGCATACAGCAATAAACTCAGCTTCAGCAGAGTAGAGTGCAATCAGCTCCTACTTCATAGAATTCCAAGAGATAGGTCCAATAGGTTCCAGTCGATAGATGAACCCAGTGCGCGACCGTCGATTAGTAGAATCAGCAGCGTGATCGGCGTCGACAAAACCATGTAGGTAGAGTGTTTTACAACTGATGACGTTGTAGACTAAACCGACGTCAGGTGTCGAGATAAAATATTGAAGCGCGTGGAGAAGATCAAGCTGATGCTCCTCCTCAGGACGGCGTAGGAACTGAGCGAGCTGACTGGCCGCGTAGGCTAGATCAAGACGGCAAGTGACAGCGGCGAAGAGTAGACAGCCTAGCTGCTGTTGAAAGATCTGTGAACTGGTTGAAGTTAAAAGTGCGGTGTTCGGTTTGTGGTCAGTCGGTAGTGAGTAGTATAGTGTAGAGACTGTAGTAGGTGTGAGGTTAAAGCTGGCAGCAAGAGTTGCTGCGTACTTCGAAGCGGTGAGATGAATATTCGTCGGTGAGTAGGTAACGTTTAGGCCAAGAAACTGTGAGTCTGTTTCAGTGACGGTAAGCTGTAGAGTTTTCTGTAGTTTAAGTATGAAGGTATCGGCAAGAGAATTGGTAGTACTGACGAAGAGGATGTCGTCGACGTAGGCGACAAGTAAAATATAGTTGCTGCCGTCGGTCAGTAGATACATTCCCTGGTCATGCGGTAACTGACGAAATCCGGCAGTGATCAGCTGCGAGTGTAGGTACTGTTGCCAGAGTCGTGGTGCCTGTTTAATGCCGTACAGGGATTTTCGGAGATGGCAAATGCTCGGTGGGTTAGTAGTATAGGAATGCGGGTACTCTACCAGGATAAGTGCGTCGACAGGCGCATAGAGAAACGCATTCGACACGTCGATTTGTCGAAGTCGGAGATTACGGCAGGCGGCGACACAAAGATGAATCCGAACGCTTGTATGTTGGCCGACAGGAGCAAAAGTTAATTCGTAGTCGATGCCGTAAGTCTGTTCGAACTCGCGAACGACCCATCGTGCCTTGAATTTCTCAAACGAACCATTTGCATTTGTCTTGACGGGGAAGACCCATTTTCCGGTAAGTACCTTCTTTCCTTTTACTTCTGAAGTCGGTATTAAATCCCATGTTCCGCGACTCTTGAGAGCTGCTAGCTCTTTATCCATGGCTTCGCGCCATTTCTCTCGGTGAGGACTCGTAAGAGCTTGTCGAACGGTTCAGGTATTTTACTGTCGTTGTACTGTACTGCGACTGCGAATCCCAGTATCTGTAATCCTGTTTCTGTAAAACGCGGACGTTTTTCGTTTGCACCTGCGAAATTTTCTTCTGGTCCTTCTTCCCCCCCAATTTCGTCAGGTGTAACACGAACTGCTTTGTCGGAGACGACGGGCATCGGCTGCTGTTGGTGATCGCGTTCGTAACTGAGATGAACTTGGCGAACATCATCCTGGACAGCATCTGCAAGAGGAATGAATTCAGGTATGCTAGTCGAGGTAACAGGTTCGGGGATGTCCGTTGCGGCAGCTTCAGAAGCTTCGGAAACATCCTCATCCTGTACATCAGCTTCGGCTTCGTCAGTTGCAAACGCACGCGAGCCTTCGAACAGCCTGGCAGGATTGGCAGCTGCAGCCTGGTGGGCACGAAAAACGGGCAAGGTGAGTCTTTCATAGAAAAGACAATCACGTAATGGAACGATTTGATGGAACCGGAGATCCAAAATCTTCCACGCGTGATACTGTTTTTCGATACCGAGATGTACCCCCCATTTTGCTCGTTCGGAAATTTTTCCGAGTGCTGCGGTTGGAGGACGAAACTGTACAACACACCCGAAAACTCGTAAAAGATTTGTGCTTCCCACTGTACGTGTCCACTGCAGGTGTGGAGAAGAGAACTCGGGCAGGGACGTTGAAGAAAGAAGATTGTGTAACAGCACGGCGTGGTCCATCGCATACGGCCAAAAATGCGGTGGAAGGGCTTCCTGCGTCAGCAGAGCACGCATCTTCTCCTGTAGAGTTCTGTTCATCCTTTCTGCTACCCCCATCTATTGATGTGCATGTGACAGGGCCTGCTTCCGTTTGATGCCGAGTGTTTGAAGGTAATCTGTGAAGGTATTGCTGGTGTACTCCTCTGCACCATCACTCTGAAATTCTTGCAGTTTTGCGCCGGTATCCCGTTCAGCGACAGCGAGCCACGCGACGAAGACGGAGTGAGCGAGATGGCGCGTAGGAAGGTTTGCTGTCCAGAGATAGCGTGTAGATGCTTCGATGAATGTTATGACGTACTTCTCGTCTTTAGGTCCTGTCTCAGGTAAGTTTAGGATGTCGCTGTAGACTTTCTGCATCAGTTTATAACGTGTTGAACCAGGAAAATGACTTGGAAATGGATCGTGAGTAAGGTTGGCAACCGGACACGTGGTGCAAACCGTCGGTCGAGACTGCGGCTTCATTTACGTGCCGTCAGGTAAGAGAAGACTATTTTTATCAAGAACTGCTGCTCGGATTGAATGATTAAGAATCCCTTGTGATGGGTGTCCTAACCGCTGATGCCATATATCTTCTGTGGCTTTGTGTCCTGATGATCGCAGGTAGAAATCGGAGTTAGTATAAAACGAAGAAAGTATGAAAGGAGAAAGCGCTGGTGACTTGTCAATTTCTCCTTCGACGAAACGGGTAAGAGGTAACGTGACAGTTGAAGGTGGTGCTGCAGTTGCGAGTACGACATTTGACACTGCTGCTGTTGATGTCGTGGCAGGAATTTCGGCGACAGCTACTGTTGGACTCGGCTGCTCAGCTACTCCTCCCTGTTCGGCTTCTTCAACAACGTCAGGTTCATCAGCTGCAAGACCACTTATCCCTCCCCAAAGTGGTGCTAGAGTTCCTTGGAAGGCTGCACGGGTATTATAAAAAGTTCGCCAAGCGTTGGCACCTTCATCGGCTGTATTGAACTCCTAGGTATCCAACGCGGTAAGGACGGCGGCTGCAGTTCGAGAAGTCGTTGGTACAGTAGTTGCTCGAAAATCAATATCCACGTTTTGATAATCTGTTCCTTCTGGATGATCCCAGGGACCAAGTGCAAGCACCTGTTCAGAATCGCCAGAAGTTTCCTGTGCTGCGAACTGAAGAACGGACACGCCATGTTGAGTGGCGGCATGACCAAGATAAGTATTCGTCGAACTGTGCCAGAGCTCCTGATCCATCGTGTCACAATTGCCCAGTGTGCGGATTTTGTGTGCCAGGAGTTGAGCCGTGGAAAGAAGATTGAAGCCAAGACCGGCGACGATAAGAACATTAGTAACATGAAGTGAGTATCCCGTGTCGATAGATTCGAGCATCACACTTCCAACTGCGCATGCCATAATGGTTTGTCCGTTTGCGACTGTTACAGGTATCGGACGACGAACTGAACGCTGATTGGTGATGAAGCTTGTTTCTGCTGAGCACATGTGCCATCCACAGCAACTGTCAAGATACCAGGTATTCGGACCTGAAATTATTCGAGCGAGGTTAGCGTACCTTTGAGGTAAAGGAATGCCTTCAGCACTTGTGGTTTCTTCAAGTCGTGTCTCGAAATCTGTTTCTGAAATATCAACTGTTGTAACACAACCAAAAACTCCTTTTCCTGATGTGGCAGATGCGAAGTCCGGCGGGCGATGATGCGACGGTGATGAATTCTGTGACGGTTTTGGCATCTGCTGCTGCTGAGACGTTAACTGCTGTTGTGACTGTTGTGTCTTCGGTAACTGCTGCGATCGGTGATACGGCTGCGAAGTGCTGCGACGAGTTTGATGACGGCTGCGACAGTTTTGGTAAGTATGTCCTGGTTTCTTACAGAAATGGCATAATGGATTCTTTGGTGGATGTCGATGTTGTTGTTCTGGATTGGAGTAAAAACTTAAATGAAGTCCCTTTTCTGATTTCGTTGTGATTGCAGGTCAAGATCTTGCTGCTCTGCTTGAAGATAAGAAGAAATTTCGGCTTCGGAGAGATTGGGATTCATGCGCAGGAAGGCGCGCGTCTGTCGCCATTCGGGTCCAAGACCAGCCAGAAGTACCGTGAGATACATCTCATAAGGAAAGTATCCTCCGCTCTTTTCCAATTGATCTCGTAGTGTGCGGACACGATTAAAGTAGTCCATGACGTTTTCGTTTGTCATCATCTACACACTTGTGAGCTGCGAAAGTATTTTACTCACTGTTATTGTATCCTTTGCCATGTATACCCCTTTCAGATGATTCCATGCAGTTTCGGCTGGTGTGAAACTTGAGTGAAATGATCGAACGCCGAGCTGCTCCTTCGGCGACAAGTTCCGGACAAGAATTGTATACGCCCCGAGAGAGGCGTGTAAAAAAATCTGCTACTCCAGTTGTGTTCCCACGACAGGGTACGTAAATTCGCCAGTGAAGAACGGCCATAGCCCAGCGAACTGCGCCAGAAGTTCAAACTCAAAGCTCCAGGAGTAGAAGTCAACACCATTAAAAGGTACGGTTGTCTTGATCTGAGTATTGTTAAGTAAATTTGGAGGCTGAAAAACAATGCCTGGCTGTTGCTGTTGTTGCTGTTGCTGTTGCTGTTGTTGTTGTTGTTGTTGTTGTTGTTGTTGTTGTTGTTGTTGTTGTTGTTGTTGTTGTTGTTGCTGTTGTTGCTGTTGCTGTTGCTGTACTTGCTTTGGTTGCTGAGCAGGAGAACGACTGAAGATATAAAAAGGATGCTGAAACTGCTGCGACTGCGGCTGTTGTACGAAAGGTTAGAAAGCGAACGAACTAGTACTTGGAGCTGTAGCTCCATGCATGTAACTTGAGCCATCAAGACTCATTCCACTGAACGCAGATGAAATCGATTGCGTTGAAACTGGTGGCTGTACTGACGCTTGTTGCTGTGCTGCTGTTTGTGATTGTTGTTGTTGCGCTGCAGGTGCAGTCGATGGAGCACCAGGAGTATTTACAGAAGGCGGATTCTGCTGTTGCATATGGATATTAGCGTAGGCTGGTGGAAAGTGCCCAGAGGCTGAGAGACCAGCGGCGGTAGTGGAGGCATGTGCTCCAGTAGTCCCAGTAACTGATCCAGCAGATGGTGCTGGTGAGGAACCAGTCATAGTTGACGGTAGTCTTAATTCCAGGTAGCTCTCATACCATGAAATAATTCGACAGGTGTTGTAGTAGACGAAGTATAAAACTACAAACACGAACACTTGGCAAATCCTCAAGTGTTGGTCCAGGATCTTTGCTGGAATGGTAGACTAGTAAGACAGCGGAAGTCTTGTAAAATGTAATAGTCAAGGTTGAATAACCTGAGTATGTGATCTTGTGGGTAATCAAAGTTAATAATGAAAAGACCTAACAAAGTATTTATAGTTCTACGAAAAGTACCTATTCGCTAATGTACCTGTTCGTCACTATCGCGCTATGCGCCCCAGATGATAATGAAGAGGTGCGACTGTTCGCGTGACTGAAAACGACTGTCCTATGACGAGCGCTATTTGCTGACGTCATCCTACGGACTTATCGTCTACAGTATGATTGACACTAACTACACTTAATCGACTTACACAAATGCTAAGTATCAATTATATCACAACATCAAGAAGAGTGAATGTGACCCCAGCCTGTTCCTGCTGCAGGAGAAGGATGAAATCCTCATGCTCTTGGTGTATGTGGATGATATCCTTCTCTTTTCTGCATCAACTGGTTTGCTGGACAGCGCAGAGCAGATGCTGGAGATGCAGTTCAAGTGTTCCAAGATGGGTGAGGTGAAGTTCTACCTAGGGATGCATGTGGAGAGAGATGTGGAAAAGGGTATGCTGAGGTTGCACCAAAGGAAGTACTGTGAGGGGCTGGCTGAGAAGTATGGGCTGCAAGATGGAGGAAAGCCAGCAACACCACTACCTTCGGGGTTTACTGTGGAGCCATGTGCTGATGAGGAGGTAGTGGGTGAGAGTGACAGGAAGCTGTTTCATTCGATGGTTGGGTCGCTGAATTATGCTGCAAATCATACACGGCCTGACATTGCATTTGGTACATCATGGCTGGCTAGTGTCGTCTCACGCCCCAGTCATGAGCACCTGGAAGCGGCCAAGAGGTTGGTCCGCTATGTGAGCGCTACGGCATCAGTGGGATTGGAGTACAGTGGAGTGAGGCAGCGGTTGCAGAGAGGTGCTGCAGATGTGAAGAGTGGAGAGATGCTCTTGAGTTGCTATACTGACGCTAGCTTCAACTCAGTGAAAGCGGATGGCACCAGCATTGGGGGTTATGTGTGCTTGCTGGGAGGTGGTGCTGTGAGCTGGCGGAGCAAGAAGCAGAATGAGGTGGGATTGTCCTCATGTGAGACAAAGTACATTGGCTTACACCATGGGGCCAAGGAAGTGGTGTGGCTAAGACGCTTGTTGGAGGAGTTGGGAGTTGGTCAGAAGGAACCGACGGTGATCTTTTGTGACGATGAGTCTGCTGTGAAGCTCGCCAAGAATGCTTGTCTGCATGGGCTGACAAAACACATAAGGCCTAAGTGGCACTGGGTGAGGAGACTCATTGATAAGGAGGTGCGGCTGGAGATAGTAAAGACCCATCAACAGGCAGCAGATATTTTCACTAAGCGTCTGGCGGAGGCGGATCATTGGAAGGGCATGAAGCTTGCTGGGATGAGTGTGCATTGAGTATGCATGCTTGAGATGTTGGTATGGTGGATGCTGGTTGGCAGCCAGAGGGGGAGAATTTTGTGTGATGTCATCATATGCTATCACATTCTGTCTGCCTCCCATCCCTTGTTTCAATTCGCATGTATGGTTGGACAGTGTGTGAAAGAATTTGTATGGTGTGTGTTCTGGAGTTTGGGAATGTGTTTTGTGTTATTCTGTCTGAGCATGGTATTTGTGATGATAGATCTTGAGAAGATCTTTCCGACGCAACAAGAATCGCTTCAATCGGAGCAAGAACGTGAAAGCTATGAAGATTCAAAGTTCATGAGCTTGCGTTACAATTGCGGCGGTTACAAAGTGAAGTTGTGGAGTGACTCTATATGGAGTTGGGACCTTTGGGGTTGGGGAAATTTGTCACTCTACTGTAACAGCTGCAAATTGGTTGGGAACAACCAAGCTAGGTTGGCAAGAGTGGCCAACTTGGTTGGATTGGTTGGGAAGGGACAAATGTCAAAGTTGGGGTTCCTATAGGGAGGGAATCTTTGTGCTTATGGGGTTTCCTTGGTTGGGGACTCTCTTAGGACATTCCCTCTCGTCCCTCTTTTCCTATCCCAACCTTTCTCTTGCTCCTCTAATTCCTTGTGAGATTCTTGAACTTTGATTGAACTTTTGAGATTGAGTTAAGTTCTCCTCCTACAGCTTACCCCCCAATGCGTCGAAAGACATAGCGTCGCGAATGCTCCATCAATCGACGTGATTGAAATTGAGAACAGTAGCTAAGATTAAAAGCTACAACATATCCGATTTTCGCGACATTCCAACAGCTAGTTTTTTGTCGACGCCGTTTCTTGTGAAGACGAATTTTCTGTCCAGAATCTCGGATTTATATTTTGAGTAATTCTAGCTCCTAAGTTCACCCAGACTCCGTCCTTAATCCTAACACTAGAGGGGTGGGGAAAAGTGAAAAATAAAACGATGTGAGGGGCCCATGGGGAGCCAGAGGTGTGCAACACTGTAGGGCCCTGAGGGAGGGCAGCACTGTGCATGCAAGGATGCAGCAGGTACGGTTTGGCTGAACGATATATCCATAGGACACGCTGGCAAAACGATAAAATATTGCAGTGGCAGGAATTGGTTGTGGCAAGTTGAGTGCAATTCTGCAGCATGAAACGGGTGGATGACTGCCGGGCTATCATGTGAATATGGTTCAGCTTGAAATGGGTGCTGCGGCATGAATGGGTTGCAAGGTGCATGACAGGATTGCAACAACGCTAGCGGGGGCAGAGCGCTTGACTGGATTGCAGTATGCTTGACTTGGCTGCAGCATGCCTACATGATTGCAGGCTGCCCCATCGGTGGGCATGACAGGATTGCAGGGTGGATGACAGGATTGCAGCATGCATGTATGAATTGCAGCATAGGGCTCTTACCTCCCCCATAAACATGCCAAGTGTCGCTCAGGGCAGGCGTTCTTCGGCGAGCATGTCATAGTCTGCAAACCTGTGTGTCGGCGTGAATGGGAGGGGGGAAGGGGACGGTCTGCTGAGGAGTGTAGGTACCGCAATGACAAACCAAGCTAATCTCGCATGCATTTGTGATGACTGCCGGGCCATAGAGTGTGCAGCTTAAAGCCCTCCCAGCAGGTTGCATATTTGTACTTTTTAGGTAGGTGGGGCGGCAGAACTTGATTGGACGACGAAGGATAATGGAAACGAAATATTTGGCGAAGACTGGGCTTCACAAAGTCAGCATTTGTTTTGCGTGAGCTAGCGGGGCTGGAAAATTGGCAGGGCTGCCAATTTTGCAGCTCACAATCTGGCGGAGAGCCACCTCGCCACCTCTGCCAAGTTTGCAGGGCGAGATCCGGTTGACTGTTTCGAACACAACCAACCCTTTGACCTGACCGGTTTCGGAAAAACAAACTGGATGTTGTTTGATGCATACACAGGTCGGTACAGTGTGAACCAAAAAATACGAATCACATTTTTGTTTCGCGATTCCCACCCACACTGCAAAATACAAATTCAGGCTTCTACCCCCCACCCAACCCGACCCATATTTTCCCTCGAAGAACTTGGCGGGTTTGCACTGCCAAGTTCCGAGAGGTCCCCCAAGCCTGCCTAGTTGGAAATCCATCGCGAGCATTTGGCAGTTTGATGCCAGCTGCTCGGTTACGAGGGTCTCAAGGTGCAGCATCTTGTGAAAGGAGGGCTTGCAACCTGCCGGTCGGGCTTCAACAATGGGCTGACCATACCTTGCAGGTTGACGCCGCGGCTGCTTGAAATGCCCTATGACCTCTTGGCCACTACGGTTACTTGGGCTCGCTGTTGGATGTGTCAACTATGGGGTTTGATGACAAGGAGATAGCGCAAGAGAGGGGCATGACAACAGTAGCATGCATGAAAAGGATGATTAGGCCCTAAACTGAAGGGTTTGTGAACTACCACCCCCAGCAAGCTGACCCAAGGGTGGATTGTGGCGGATAGAGCGCCTGCTGCAATGACCGAACGACCTCAGCCGACGGCCTCGCCGCGACGTAGTGGAGGCACCACCATCGGGGCTGTTGAAGGTGAACGTAGGTGTGGTGCCATTAGGCGGCAGTGGCGATAGTTGCGGGTCAGGGCACATTGTGGTTGGCAAGCTAGACACTGAAATCTCGGGGTCAAGGCTGTCAAGCATTGCTCCGTTGGTGTTAAAATCCACAATCCCCCCATCATCATGCTGCTCTGCCACTACCACCAGGACCGAAGTGCGTGGCACAGGTGGCTTTTTGTTTAGCGCTATCACCTGCCATCGTGCCAGGATGTCCTCAGGTGCGGCATTATCCTTCACCCTTTGAGCGCCGGTCTCCTTGCGACAACGCTTTCGTCAAGGGGGACCTTCACCCACCATACGTCGTGCCACACACTGGACTTTCCGCATCTCCTCGTACAGGATCCTGGTTGGGGGCTTGGCTGCGGCATCGAACGCGAACTTGCCCATGGTTGCACAGACTGCTCTAATCATCGTTGGCTTTTGCGATGTGGCGCTGACAGTACCTCGAATCTCCTTCTGCTTCGCTAGCCATCCCTAAAGCTCTTTTCGTCCAAGCAACCACAGGTCTGCGCAACTCTCAGCATCGCTCACGCTCAGTACTGGACTAAGCGCATCTACCAACTCCTTCACGAACTTTCGTGTGAGAGCTTGCCCCTTGTGCCACACATCCATCTGATGAGTGATATCGCGACCGAAAATGGCTGCCTTGAAAGATCCGCCATCATCCGAGATCATGCCTTTCACATGGAAACCCATCGCCTCTAGTTGTTTCAAACCCATTTCAAAGGCCAGCTGCTCTAGCGCCATAGACGACACCTTCTCCTTTTCTTTATTTAGCGTGACGCAGTACAGGATCTTACGAGAGACTGGGTCCATAAACGTGATAGTACACCATCGGCCCTCTCTCGTCTACGCACACAAACTCTCCCAGGGCAGGCCGTTTCCCCATCAGTTCTCGCACCCTTGCCATGCTGTCCTCACTCTTCATGATGATTGCTTCCCATAAGCCGAGTGGACGGCGCATGTAACGGTAGAATGTCTCATGACCCATCGACTCCAGCCCCAGCATGCGGCTGACCTCTGAAAGATGCTGGAACCCTAGACCCGCTATTGCAAACACCCCTAGAAAGTGGGGTAAGAATAGCGATGTCTTAGGGCCTTGTGGACCAGCACTAGCAGTCACCTTACCACGCTTCGTGGTCCAAAACTCGCGCACATAACGGCATGTGTCACACATCCACATATAGCCCGCGCAAGCCCACTTCAGTTTTGCCGAGCGCAGTCGCATTCGACCTATGCACCCGGTCCCCCTCAAACACATCAGATGCACCGCCATGAAGAAGTTCAACAACAACAGAGGGTCTAGGAAACATACCGCCCCATGCTTGTCCGTCAGCTCAGCTGTCGTATCGCGCCAGCCACGTGGAAACCGCGTGCGCCTGCATGCTTTCACAACCACCACCCTCGCCGGACTATGAAAGGGATGTTGGCACGGGTACAGTGAGTGAGATGTTAATTTGTGCAGGGGCGACCTCCTCATTGGAGAAATGGGTTTGGCAGATGCATCCCATACCTTTCATCTAGGCCGAGCCCCCCAACGCTAGGGGCCACTACGCCTTCATCCGGCACAACCAGGCAGCCGGCACTGCGCTCCTCTTCAACTGCACCGGTTCTTTGCAGTCCCCCCGCCTCCACACCTGGTGACCCCATCACCACCGAGCTTCCCACCGCAGGTTGGTCCTCTGTGGAAGCAAGCCCCACATCTCCCACGACACATAGGGAATCCGCCACTGCTGACGGCGCCGCACATCGGCCATCAGTCGGTGTTGCATCGCCTGTGCCATTCCCTGGCTCCCGCGCTCCTCCCTCGGCTCCTTGGGCATCCGTCGTTGTCCCGATTGCCACTGTTAGGCAGACCAGGATATGAGCAGCAAAGCATACTCTGGCCCAGGCCTTGCATATTAAACGTGTGTCCCATCATCAGGGGCAAGTTGCAGCAACGGTGTGGATAGCGATGTTGGCGGCGAGGGCTATGGCAATGTCAAGGGAAAGGGGCGTGTGCTGCACAATGTTGCATGCCATGTGGGATCGTATCTTCACGTAGTACATTTCTAGGCTCACCTAGTTGCCTCAGCATCTCGTAGCGTTGACCCCGTCGTGCCCCTCCATGCCCAAAGCCCTCGATGGGCTTGACCCTGCCCTCCGTGGTCTTGGCATGGCAGGCATGGCAGGCATGGCAGACATCGTAGGCATGGCTGGCATGACAGACAAGGCAAGCAAGGCGGGCATGGCAGGCATGACTGGCATGGCAGGCATGACTGGCATGGCACGCGTGGCACGCATGACAAGCATGACAGCCATGGCACGCATGGCAGGCATGATGGGCATGGCAGACATGACAGGCATGGCATGCATGGAAGGCATGACAGGTAGGGTGTCACAGGATCGAATGAGGTTTAGCTCAATCTTTCACTATCAATCAGTACAAGGTGCTTTAATACTTCCAGAGCATATCAGGTAACCAGGTTTATCTTATCCAAAGGGAATAGACCCTTCTAGAAATAGAATGACCTTGCGTATAGCCACGTGAGGCTATTGGCTTTAAGGGATTACGGCTAGATTACGCTAGATATAGCGCGCCAGTACATCCCGAGCCTGGTCGGTGATATAATTATAATAATGGGATAAACCAAAGGATAATGGAAAAGGAAGAATAGGAAACCAAATGAGATGAGATAAAGACCAAATGATTCAGGAATAAAAGAGGAATAAAATAGAAATGAAATATGGAAAGGGGAAATTGGTGTAATAGGGTCGTACTCTCACACTTCCCCCCCTCAAAGCTGGGTGGTAGAAGTAACAACCTACTTGACAAGGTAGTCGCGAAGAGGACGACGGGCGTTACCCATGTCGAATTCAGAGACGCAGCCTTAGAAGGATCACAACCCTTCCAGCAAAGAAAGCTCCAGAGTGCCATTCTGACGACGACGGTGTTCGAGCACGTAGTTGTCCCATGTCGTGGATGAACACAGGCGGTGACGGTGGTTGGCATTGGGTGTAGAGCGTGTTTGGTCTTGATAGGGTTGAAGAAGCTGGTATGGAAGGCGTTATGGATCTTCCAAGTGGCTGGTAGGCGGAAGCGGAAGGTGACTGCAGTGACATTTACTTCAACGAGGATAGTCCCGCATAAGCAAGGTTGAAGTTTGGATGGAAAATGGCTGATGTCGAAATTACGGTGTGGATAACTGTAGTGATGAGTAGCCAGGTGCTTCTGCTGCTGTTGGATGTCCAAGTGGCGTGTCCGGTGTTAGAGCTGATGGACAACGGTGATGAAATTGATTTTTTGGTTGTTCTGGTGTGAGCTGGTTGCAACTGTAGGTGGTACGCGGATGGCGTTGATCGTGATCGAGATGCTGTAGCGGAAGAGTCGATGTACTGTCCTTTCGGTGGGTGCTCTAGCTCGCACATTGTAGTATGCGTTGAGTCTCGGGTAGCACATCCTGCTGTTACTCGCATCTCGTCCACGTATGAAGATGACTAAGTGTTGGTGGTGTTGCAGTCGTGTCATAGTCCTGCTTCGGTAGCAGCGTTGTATCAGATACATGCAGCTTCTGTCGAATGATAGTCCATGCCGTAGTGTTGTCGCGAGTCGTACCCACTCGGCATCATAGTGCTGTGGGAATGGAGGGCAGAATTACTAGTAGTAACCCTGTCCACCACGCGGTCTACTACTCACACTGCCTTCAGTACAACAGCGCATGCGAAGTGCTGCTCAGCGTATCCCTTGTGTTCAGAACCATGCGAGGGGTTGGTACCACAAGCGCGGAGCTGGTAACTTCCAGAATCGGCGCCAAAGTAGTTTCCTTCGGTGGTTGCTCAAGCAAGGAATCTCTGCTGCGTAGATATCCTACAGTGATGGGTTAGGAGATCTGGGAATGTTAGGGCTATTCCCAAATAATCCTTTCCCACTTCCAAATGGGCATTGGTGACAACCAATCCAGTATGACCTTATGCACTTCCAATTTAGCACGGAAGTCATCGGTAGGCATTGGTGTCTGGGCGCACATATTGGGATAGGTCTTCTGCTGTCATCATGTGTTGTCTCATTCTGTTACTGTCCTTGAAGTAGCGTTGAAGTCGAAGACATCTCAGCTACTCAGCATCAGTGTTGAAGTCTGTTCTATTTCGGCAAATAGGGGTGTTGTTGGAGATACGCGGAGTCCACTGTCCGGAGTGGCGTCGGTGCTTCATTTTACGCGTATCTGCTTCCGTGGAGGTGGTGCTGGTGATGGATTGGTTGCGACGCAGGTTTTATGACTTTAAGGAAAGCCATAGGCCATGAGAACTTGTATACCGGTAGAGTACCGCGGTCCTCCCATCCTCATAAGAGCAAATATCTTCTACTCTTGAGGGTATATGGCATTGCCATGTTGTTCCCTCGCATAGTGGTGTCTCCTTCCCACTAGCTGGAAATCATAGTACTGTGCCTGGCCGGGACTTAACGATCCACTGGAATATAATCCAGCATTATCTCCATTGAGCGGAGAATCATCCATCAGGGTTTGGTTGTGACTGTTGTGTCGAGTCTTCTGCTGCGGCGGCGGCGGCGGTTGCGACGACGGCGATGGCGGCAGCTGCTGCAGAGAATTCTCTCAACTCATACTGGTTGAAGGAGAATCCATCAACTCCCTCTTCCCAGTAGAGTGTTCTTGATGGGTGTAACAGGCGTAACTACCAGGAACATGTGCACATTGGTACACATGTGTTGCTCCATTGCTGCCGGTGATGGTTTCATTTGAGGGTATGAAGAGAAATTTGCTTCTCCCCTCAATGTATCCACGGGGAGCAATTCCTGGTATGCTCATCCGTGCCTCCGATGTACGATCGGTAGAGTGCGTGATCGTGTTGTAGTAGTCCGCATCTCCCTGATTTGTTGACACCTCGTGTTGCTTGGCATTCTCCTGCATCGTCGAAGTTACGCAGATGCTTGCAACGCTTCGGCTTCTGGTAGAATCGCCTCCATTGCATGTGCCGTAGGGTCGCTAGTGAACGAGTACTTGTCGGATTAGAGGTTAATTACTCCTCAATCTGTCAAACAGCGTGACGTGCACGTAGTTTTTTTCCACGCAGGTCATTAACACATGGAATCGCAACGCATGATTGGTGTATCGTCTCGTGAGGTCGATGTTGAGGCTGCTCCAATCAATCACTTTGGATGGCTAAGATTCTTGATGAAGATGAATTGTTCAGCTCCTGTTACGAAGTAGTATCTCACTGGCCTTGATGAGACGGGTTCACTGCATCGTCGTTGCGTGCGAAATCTGGTCCTTCGCAACAAATTGATGTTGGGAATATTGCAAGAGAAAACGGCTACTTCTCTGCAATCCCATAGCTTGTCGATCCAATTTTTGAGATGAAGTGACTCATGGATGGAGAACATGTCTTCACGCAGCTCCATTGTTTTTCCT